GTGTGTGTGAGAGAGAGAGAGAGAGAGAGAGAGAGAGACCTATAGAAAGTAGAATAATTCACCAAAACATTCTAAGGGGGTGGGGGGAAGTAGCAGTCAGCCACTAAAGGCTGCCATTGTTTCTCCAGAAGGTAAAAGGTAAAGGACCCCTGGACAGTTAAGTCCAGTCAAAGGGGACTATGGGGTTATGGCGCTCATCTCGCTTTCAGGCCGAGGGAGCCGGTGTTTGTCCACAGACAGCTTTCCATGTCATGTGGCCAGCATGACTAAACCACTGCTGGCTCAACAGAACACTGTGACAGGAACCAGAGCACATGGAAACGCCATTTACCTTCCCGCCACAGCGGTACCTATTTATCTACTTGCACTGGTGTGCTTTCGAATTGATAGGTTGGCAGGAGCTGGGACAGCAATGGGAGCTCACCCAGTTGCGGGGATTTGAACTGCCGATTTTCAGCAATCCCAAGAGACTCAGTGATTTAGACCACAGCGCCACCCACTTTCTGTTTCTCCAGAACACCTCTGTCAATGATGCTACATGATGACGCAGCATAGCTCACAGCAGCATTAAGGGAAGGAAAAATGGTATGCATCAGCTGTGGGTTCCTTGCTGCAACCAGGTGAAGCCCTGCTGTGGCTACCACCAAAACAAGTGCAAAAGTTGAATCAGATGCAAAAGATGAACAGGGTAAGCAGATTTCCTTCTCCTTTTGCCCCTCCAAGTACCCCAAAGTTAAAATGTTTGAACTTTTACCCTCAATTTGTCTGAAATGTTACCATTATTTGAATGTGTCCAACATTCCTGAGCCAGCACATGGCAGTGGCTTACAGCTTTCACAACATCCTTATGAGGTAGGTTCCTGACTCCACTGTGCAAATGGGGAACTGAACCTGAATGGCCACTGTCTACTTGTAAATCTTGTTTTGAGATACGTTCATCTACATGCATCCAAAAGATCAATTCTTTATTGACTTCTTTTGATGCATGAGCTGTGGTTTCCTCTAACATGTTTACTTCCTTACAGAATTAGTACTTGAAAGACAGCATGATACTATACATCACTGGATTTGGTGCCAAGGAAATGCATTAATTTAGCAAGCTTAGTCTTTTAGTAAACATGAATCAGCCCACAGCATCAGTTGTTTGGGTTTATTCATAACACAAAGCTACAACAAAATGGCAAGTACCCAGACTGCTTTGCGGTAGCAAACATGTTTTATTCTGCAGAATACCATTTAGGGGGAGCATGGGGACATTTCTTCCCCATCCTCCATTTTTCAGACCTGATCTAATTATTCCTAAGGAGCACATATAATTCTGGCTAATTCACTGATTCTTCACAGTAAGGATACAATGAGAGGTAACATGAGGTTTCATGATATTCCCCTATTATTATTATTATTATTATTATTATTATTTATTATACAAAAGTAGTCTCAGGAGGCTGTCAGTTCAAACAGAAAGAAATGGTCCAGAGTAGAGCTGCTTAACCCTTTCCCCTCCACATGTATTTCAAGTAAAAATTACCTCCCCAAACTGCTCTTTCTATTGTTGAGAGAGAGAGAGAGAAATATGAGTCATATATTTCTTTCTGTGGGTAGAAAACAAATACTCCAATTATTACATGGAGACAGAATCACAGAATCATAGACTTGTAGATTTGGAACAGACCCCAAGGGTCTTCTAGTCCAACCCTGGCAATTCAGGAATCTCAGCTAAAGCATCCATGACAGATGGCCATCCAACCTCTGCTTAATAATTTCAAAGGAAGGAGAGTCCACCACTTCCTGCGGGAGACCATTCCACTCTTGAACAGCTCTTCCTGCCAGAATGTTCTTCCTGATGTTGATTCAGAATCTCCTTCCTTGTGTGCTGGTCCCGGGGGGAAGGTTACCGTTGTCGTAGTCAAAGTCCAGTCCTGAGTCACTAGCCTGGAAACAGTTCACAAGGAGCGAGGTGAGGTCCGAAGCACGAAGCCGGGCGGGGACAGGAACACTGGAAGGTCGGAAGCTGGAAGCCGGGCGGGGACAGGAACACTGGAAGGTCAGAAGCAGGAAGCCGGGCGGGGACAGGAACACTGGAAGGTCAGGTCTGGGTCCGGGTAGGAGCAGGTACTCAACGATGACGTTGCTCCCGCAACCTGGGACTGGGCTGACTGGCCTTTATCTTCTCTGAGGCCAGGGGCAGTCCCGGCCCCCAGGAGACCCGCCTCTCCTGGCCTTAAAGCGAGCACTCCTCCTGGGAGAAACCAGTTCCCTTCGCCTCTCTGCCCTGAGCCTCTGCAGTTCAGGAGAGGCTGAAGGGTTACTGGACCCAGGGGGAGACTCACCTGTAGGCACTGAGTCCTCAACCACCTCTGGAGCCAGAATGGATTCACCTGGTGCCTGCTCCTGAGGATCCGGCACAGGTGTAGGCGCCTCAGAATCAAGGCCCTGCCCCAGTTCAGCCGGCCCTGGAGGCGGGGACTCCTGTGCAGGCTGGGATTCCTCCGGTTCACCCTCTGAATCGGATTCCCAGGCCATCACACCTTGCCATTTTAATCCGTTGGTTCAGGTCCTACCCTCCAGAGCAGGAGAAAACAAGCTTGCTCCATCTTCCACGTGACAGCCCTCAGGTGCTTATCAGATCACCTCTCAGTCTTCTCCAGGCTAAACATACATAATTCCCTCAACCATTCCACATAAGGCTTGGTTTCCAAACCCTTGGTCATCTTGGTTGTTGTTCTCCACACATGCTAGGTGTGCAATGTTCATGTGCATTCATTTACATGCATGCAAGCAAGAGCAGTTAGGAAATTTTAGACTTTGGACTTATTGTGTAGAGTTTAATTCAAATGGAATAAAGCCAGCCTTGCTGAATTGGGCAGGCCTTTCTGCTCATTCTAGCCTAGTTCCCGCCCCAAACACCACAACTGCAGCTTTTATTTGTGAGTAGAAAGAAAGCTTTATTCAAGGCTACAGGTTAATCTACAGGTGCAGAATACCCAAGGTGCAGCTGCAGAGTTCAAGGACAGCATCAAGACTTTGAGGCTGCATGAAAGCTGTGAAGATATCTTGATAAATGGGCGCAACTCTTCCATCAGCTTTTAAAGGTGAATCCCAGACTGCTTGCACACGAGAGTCTCCCTACAGGACTGGTTGGTTGTTGTTGTTTTTGAAGGCATGGACTTCCTCATGGGGCATGGATCTGTTCCCAATGGCAGAGGGAGCACTCCAAACTTGGCAATGGGACAAGGTGGTTTTCATCCTCCTCATTTAATTCACACAACAGCCCTGTAAGGTAGGCTCAGAAAGAGTGACTGGCCCAAGGTCACCTGGTGAGCTTCACGTCCGAGTGAGGATTTGAACCCTGGTCTCCCAGGCTTCTGCCTGACACTCAAACCACTACACCACACTGCCTCGCACACACTTGCAACCCTCTCTCTATTGCCATCAAATATATTCCGGGCATGCAAAAAACAATTTCCCCCCTTATTCGTCTAAATAACCCCTGACCATTAGGCCCAGTTGCGGACAACTCTGGGTTTGCAGCACTCATCTTGCTTTACTGGCCGAGGAAGCCAGTGTACAGCTTCCGGGTCATGTGGCCAGCATGACTAAGTCACTTCTGGTGAACCAGAGCAGCGCACGGAAACGCCGTTTACCTTCCTGCCGGAGTGGTACCTATTTATCTACTTGCACTTTGATGTGCTTTTGAACTGCTAGGTTGGCAGGAGCAGGGACCGAGCAACAGGAGCACACCCCGTTGTGGGGATTCGAACCACTGACCTTCTGATCAGCAAGTCCTAGGCTCTGTGGTTTAGACCACACTGCCACCCGCATCCCTAAATAACCACTTAGCTATATATAATCCATAAAATGAAAATATACCTATTCCCCACTCAACACAGGCTGGGAACCTTCCTGTCTGTAGATAAAGACCTGCATAGTTAGACAATAATGACGAACTCTGCCTTGATGCAAATCTGTTCCTAAAGGTCATTTTAAGTTTAAAGAACCCATTAAGAGGCAAATCTGGTTTCTTAACACCCATTCATTAGCACAACAACACTTGCGCTTTCACACCATGTTAGCACTTTTTTGAAGATGGGGGGAAGGAGGAGATTTTGCTCTCAGCTCTTGCTATTTTTATCTAACCACCAGGCAGCTCTACACAAATTGACAAGCCCTCAACTTTGATCATTATATGTATTTTTTTCCTGTTTAGAAACAAAGAGATGAGTAAGAAAGCACAGAGGGAATTTATCTCACCTGGCCTGGATCAGTTCTTTGGCCCAGGAGATTCCAAACTTTTGAATCAGAGGTGGGAGATGCAACAGATGGTCCCGTTCTGATAATTCACTCAATATATTGAATTTGGAGTATAAGGTGTTATTAGTTATATGTTAAAAGTATGGTCCGTGGAAATGGACTGACTGCAAGGCAAGGCATGCCGTGTGGACAAACCTCATTGCAAAATTTTATGCAAAGCTTGAGATGTCTATGTTTAGAACACCCAGAAGCATATCAAAATAGGAATGCAAACCACTGCAGGGAGGAAAGTGTTTTTAAGTTGGTTAAAAAATTTGTGAAAATGGGATGTTATTCCGCCTAATGTGATGGATATAGGACTTGTTGCCATCGAAGGTTCTTTTTTCCTTCTGCGAGCTTCATTTATGTTCAGGCAAGTGAAAGAAAATTTGATCTTCTTTTTCTCAGCTCTGTTAAAAGTCTAAAAAGTGTGTTAAAGAAATGTAGATGGAGAGGAGGGGAGGGGAAAAAAAAGCAAAGTCTCCTTCTTTTTGCGGGGGGGGGGGGCGTTGTTTGTCAGAAGGCTGACTTGAGCAAGTTTTCTTCATGGGTGTCATCGTGGTTAGAGAGATGGACTTCGACCTGGAAGATCAGGGTTCAAATCTCCACTCAGCCATGAAGCTCCCTGGCTCATAGAGATCATTGAATCATAGAGTTGGAAATGACCATAAGGATCATGTAGTCCAACCCCTTGTAATGCAGGAATCCTTCGCCCAACGTGGGACTCGAACCCACAACCCATGAGATTAAGAGTCTCGTACTCTACTGTCTTGGGCCAGTCACTGTCTCTCTCAGCCTAACCTACCTCACAGGGTTGTTGTAAGGGTAAAATGGGGAGGGGGAGACCCATGTACAGCGCCTTGAGCTCTTTGGAAGGAGGATAAGATATAAATGTAATGCAATAATAAATATGGCTAGGGTTTGTGTCACGTTTGCAAAGCCCATCAATGCTTGCATTTTCGACGTCTGCATTTACAGAACCACAGCTTCAATTGGGAAGATGAGGATCAAAAGGGAGTGAAACTGCAGTAGCCAGCTGGTCAAGGGTAAAACTGCATTGGCCTGATCTAGCAACTCTAACAGAGAGCCAGTATGCAGAAATCAGCTGGTCAAGTTCCTTGTGGCATGGAACTAAGCTTTGGCCCTCAACACACATTGCCACCCATGTGTAGGGCTAAATGCATCGACTGGGAAAGGAACTGTACCAAGTAGCTCCATCCTTTGTTAATTATAATGGTTTAATTGACACACAAATGACAAATGGCTGAAGGTATATTGCAGATGGCTTAACATGGGGTCCCCGCCCCCCGGGGCTATATTAAAGCCAAGGAGAGCACTTTGAGCTCTTGCTAAATTAATGAACATGTGAGTGTTGTAACCTTAGATCATGTGTTGAAGGTACTGAGTTACAAATCTCCATTTTGAAGGGAGGTGCCTTTGAGTCTTTTCTCTTAAACCCAATGGAGTGAAGATGTAAAATATAGCTCTCCTAAACAGATAGTAAACAGCCTGGAGGCTGGAATGCAGGCTTTAGAGAGGGAGAGGAAGAAGGAGCGGGAGAGGGAGAGACCCTTGCTTTTAGGTCTGTTTGGATTATTTCATATTTTGTAAGTCACTGAGCCTGTGTTGGACAGCACAATACATTGTATGAAATTTTGGGTGTATCATTTGATGTGTTCTGTTTTATTTTAGGGAGTTCTACCAGGAAAAGTTTGAAAAATATTTTTATGGATCTGTACAATGATTTATTCCAAAACGAGTCAGCTCTTATGCTTCCAGTCACCTCAAACTGTGCAATATTAATATCTGCAACACCCCTGACATCACATGCCTGGGACATCAGCACACTGAGTGCAACACGTGCAAAGGGGACACCTAAGCATGTGTTGCTGAACGTGTGTTCAGGCTTCAGTGCAAACATAATGACACAGGGGACCAAGTCAGCTATACATGCAGAAGCTTCTCCTTTGCAGGCACGGCACTTAGCTAGTGGCTAATTGCTGCAGAGTAGGCGACAGGGGGCTGATTCAAAAGTTGGCAACCCTGGAATGGTTGCCCCAAATTAGGAGCGAGGCTTCATTGTTAAACCAGGAAATGGAGTTGTCCAACAGAATGGTGCGAAAGATTAGAAGGAGCAGACAACTAATTTCCGAAGCTCAGCTAATCTGAAGTGCTCTCAGCTGGCTGGATAAGCGGTGTAGCCGGAGTTCTTATTTAAGCCCACAAAGAGATTTGGGCAAATATAGAACATTTTAGAACACTGGGCATCTTGCTTTCCCCCTTTAAATAGTTTCCAGTGCCTATCTTAGCTTGGGAATTTGCAAACACACTGACTTCCTGTTCCACAGATTTCTCTGAGGAGGACTGGCTCTGAATAAAAGGCAGGCGGATGTTTTAAGAGGGCAATTAGCCTCTTCCCTGGGGAAAGTTCCTGCAGGGATGTTTGTGTGATGGGGAGGAGCCAAAGAGCCACTTAGTAGTTCCCAGCAATCTAACACTAGGACTGTTGCAACCACGTGGACCAAGACTATGGCAGAAAACAGCTCCAGATCTGGTTTGCTGCATGGCGACTGTTATGTACTGAGTTGAATAGGATCCAAAATGCAGCAGTCTGATTGGTCCTAGAACAATAGGATTCAGAATGCAGCAGTCTGATTGGTCCTAGAACAATAGGATCCAGAATTCAGCAGTCTGATTGGTCCGCAGGAGCCACCCAATCCATTTCCGGGTGGAAGTGAATCCGCAACCTGATTGGCCTACAGGAGAATCCTGGAATTAGCCAATCACGTGGGGCCCATTGTGTAAATAATGTATATAAAGCAGACATTTCGGGGGAACTTCCATCCCTCACTACTCTGAGCTGAATAAAGAGCATGAAATCCACACTTGACTCCGAGTATATTTCAGTGACGATCCTTGCAAACTGTCATCGTGCTATCATTTGTGTTTTCCTTCAGCTCCATCCACTGGCTTCTACTCAACATAGTGCCAAGCAAGTGTGCAGTCAGTGCAAGGATTTACACTTGTGCAACAGGGCGCTTGTGCAGCAGAACCCGCCCCTGCCTGCCATGCACATCCAGCGCCCAGAGGGTTGGGAGAACCCCAGAACAGATTTAGCAGGCATGGGGGGTGTGTGTATAAGATGGGGGGGGGGAGTCCCATTGTGCAAGTGGAAATCCTTGCACTGATGGGACTACATTGGATACAAGCCAATAGTCATCCCATATGCCATGGTCTGAATTTCCACCCCACCATTCCAGTTTGGCCAATGGCGCCTTCTCTCCTGTCAATTATATCTCTGTGTTTGATTGGGTGGATGGCACAGGAAGGAAGAGTTAATCCCTCTTCCCGTCCTGATCCTAATTATCCCCTCCAAAAACTGATCTGTACACTTCTGAAAATATTCATGTACCTTCAGCTGACTCGGTTAACATCACAAGCAGTTTAGCCCAGAAATAGGACTTATACCTCTTGTCTGTCTATGGAAAGCAGCAGTTGGGAATTAAAAAGATAATATGTGACATTTCTTCTTCTTCAGTATTTCCCAACATTAGTCCTGTTCACACATAACTACAAACAGGCAGAGGACATTTGCAACATGTCAGCAATCATATTTGTGAGCTCCAGGAAAAGAGCAAGCATAGTGTTGAGAGAAACTAATTGGAAATGCAGAGAAATATTTGTTCCTGTCGTATTGAAACTATGGCTACAGTATTTTATTTTATTTTTTTGCTTGGCAGTTCAAGCTGCTTTATTTTTGGCTATCAAAATTTCAGTGGTAAAACTTTTTTGCTTTTGTGTAAAATGATGTTTGATGAATTTGGATTTCATAGAATCATCGAATCTTAGAGTTGGGACACCAATGGTCATCTAGTCCAACCCTTTCCAATGCAGATATCTCAGCTGAAGCATCCATGATAGATGCCCATCCAACTTCTGCTTAAAAACCTCCAAGGAAGGAGAGTCCTCCACCTCTCTTGGGAGTCTGTTGCACTGCTTTTACTCTTAAAGTTTTTCCGAATGTTTAGTTGGAATCTCCTTTCATGTAACTTGAAGCCATTGGTTGGGCTCCTACCTCCAGAGCAGGAGAAAACAAGCATGCTCCCTCCTCCGTGTGACAGCCCTTGAGATATTTGAAGATGGCTATCATATCTCCTCCCAGTCTCCTCTTTTCTAGGCTAAACATACCCAGCTCCTTCAAGCGCTCTTCATAAGACTTAGTTTCCAGACCCTTGATCATCTTGGTCGCCCTCCTCTGCACACATTCTATCTTGTCAACATCCTTCTTAAATTGTGGTGCCCAGAATTGGACACAGTACTCCAAGTGTGGTCTGTCTAAAGCAGAATAGAGTGGTACTATGAGTTCCCTTGATTTGGACACTATACTTCTGTTGATGCAGCCTAGAATAGCATTAGCTTTTTATTGCTGCTGCATCACACTGTTGACTCATGTTCAGCTTGTGGTCCACCAAGACCCCTAGATCCTTTTCACATATACTGCAAGTAAGCCAGGTGTTCCCCATCTTATATTTGCGCATCTGGTTCTTCCTGTCTAAGTGCAGAACTTTACATTTGTCCCTATTGAAATGCATTCTGTTAGCTTGCACCCAGTTCGCCAATCTGTTAAGGTCACTTTGAATTTTGATTCTGTCTTTTGAGGCATTAGCTACTCCTCCCAGTTTGGTGTCATCTGCAAATTTGATGAGCATCCCCTCAATTCCTTCATTCAAGTCATTTATAAAGACATTGAACAACAATGGGCCTAGGACAGAAACCTGCGGCACTCCACTTCTCACTTTTTTTCAGGATGACGAGGAACCATTAATGAGTGCTCTTTGGGTTCGGTCAGTCAGCCAGCTACAAATCCACCTAACAGTTACCTTGTTCAACCCACATTTTACCAGCTTCCTTGCAAGAATATCATGGGGGACTTTGTCAAAAACCTTACTGAAATCAAGATACACTATGTCAGTCTGACATCAATACCAGGGAAGATTCTGGAGCAGATCATTAAGCAAACAGTCTGTGAGCACCTAGAAAGGAATGCTGTGATCACCAATAGTCAGCATGGATTTCTGAAAAATAAGTCATGTCAGACTAACCTGATCTCGTTTTTGACAGAATTACAAGCCTGGTAGATGAAGGGAACGCAGTGGATGTAGCCTACCTTGATTTCAGCAAGGCATTTGACAAGGTGCCCCATGATATTCTTGTAAAGAAGCTGGTAAAATGCGGTCTTGACTATGCTACCACTCAGTGGATTTGTAACTGGCTGACTGACCGAACCCAAAGGGTGCTCATCAATGGTTCCTCTTCATCCTGGAGAAGAGTGACTAGTGGGGTGCCCCAGGGTTCTGTCTTGGGCCCGGTCTTATTCAACATCTTTATCAACGACTTGGATGATGGACTCAAGGGCATCCTGATCAAATTTGCAGATGACACCAAACTGGGGGGCTGGCTAACACCCCAGAGGACAGGATCACACTTCAAAACGACCTTGACAGATTAGAGAACTGGGCCAAAACAAACAAGATGAATTTTAACAGGGAGACATGTAAAGTATTGCACTTGGGCAAAAAAAATGAGAGGCACAAATACAAGATGGGTGACACCTGGCTTGAGAGCAGTATATGTGGAAAGGATCTAGGAGTCTTGGTTGACCACAAACTTGACATGAGCCAACAGTGTGACGCGGCAGCAAAAAAGCCAATGCAATTCTGGGCTGCATCAATAGGAGTATAGCATCTAGAGCAAGGGAAGTAATAGTGCCACTGTATTCTGCT